AGGCAGTGACCCACTCTCTGACAGTACATTTGTACAGTATAGTTTCAGCACCAAATAAAGGTGGGAAACAATAATTTGCGAAACTTGCTACTGCAGAGTACATGTGTACAGTATAGTTTCAGCATCAAATAAAGGTGGGAAACAATAATTTGCGAATCAAAGAACATGTGAGAATTGTACAACAATACTTGAAAGTCTTTCAAATTTAGTCTGAGTGTCCATGTGGGCATCATCTGGAAGTATGCTGGCACTCACAAAATATCCCACATATTGTCTACGAAATTGGCCCAAAATAAAAGGAAAAAAACCCGCTGGCACTCACAAAATATTCCACATAGTGTCTATGAAATTGGCCCAAAATAAAAGGAAAAAAACCTAAGTAAAACAAACAGGAAGATATTCTTGCAAAAAGCCAATTTGCCTGGTTGCTGAGACAAGGGCCTCTTTCAAAACTATCTGTTTTGCTGTATCCTCTTCAGAGGCAGTCAATGAAAGGAAGGTACACAGCCTCAGCTGTGTAGCTGAACTCCCCTACACTATACTAAAGTTACTTCAGAGATATTTCATACCAAAGATCTAGCAATTCCCCACCGGGGGCCCATTAGTATGACAGAAGTGCTTAACATTTCCACTAAGTCAGCTGCATAAGAAAATGTTCCCAGTACTGCCTGGCAGAAGTTCGCAGCATCCCTTAGGACAATAAATGAAAGAATTCAGCCATCTTGTGTGGATGCCACTTTCCCTACTCAAACTTCTTTTTTTTTTTTTGACTGACACAACACAAGAGTGTTGGCCCTAATGTGGTAAGAGTTGATCGGTTCCTCCGGGACTTGAAAAAAAAAGTGTACAGGGAGCACAAGTAGGTACAAAGGATTCTCTTTTGAAAAGAGGAGAAAGGGTGAGGAGAAGAGATTATTTATCACAGGCATTTGTATGCCCTGACCATGTTTGCTGTCTGACTGCAGTGTTGACTGCCTCACTTTCTTTTCCATCTATGAGAAAGCAGTGTCTTCTTATGGGATACAAAAACTGCAAACGAAAGAAACACCTCAGAGCTAAGGAAAATCCTGTGCAAAGAGATATGTTATAAACATAACCAGGAAAGAATTTATAGGACTAATTAATCTAGATGAATTCCAGAAATAAGACCAGTAAAGAGTGACAATCTGTGAATTTTCCTCTGGAGGCTCAGTGTCTTTTTTACTGCAAGAAGGCTTTTCCACCAGAACTCTTCCTGTGCCATACCCATCACCAAATCCCACCTTCTTGTTTCTCTGTTCACATTTTGACCTATGGCACACAAGACTTGGAGATGTCCCAAGTCTCACAGGACACTTCAAAATATCACCTTCCTGCCCAGTGATGATTCCCAGAGAACCATCATTCCCAGACTGAGATTTTCAGCAGCTATTGAAGTCTTCCAAGCTTTTTTTTGGAACTTGGCTATAAATCATCAGTCTAATAGATATTAAGATAGATATTGCTTGGTTATTAAGAGGTTTAGAAGTACATCCCTTGTCTCTTTGATTTGAATACAAAGGACTTTTTTCTCTAAAAGAAATAATAATATATTTTTTGAATGTTGCTACTTTGCCAAGGCAGTTACTCGTGATTTTACATCCTCATTACTTTATTCTTAGTTTGCTGCAACACCATCCTCTTACCCATATCCTTGTCAGCTTACTTATCCGACAACTCCCTGATGTCCTTAGCATTTTATCAATCTTCTCTGCTTTATAACTTCTCATTTACAGTTTCCATAGCAATCCTTCACATTTTTTATTTATTGTGATATTTTCCCTCTGTCTTCAACTGCCAATGGCTCCCATTGGATATCATTTATTTGACTCAAACTTAACTGATTTTTCCATTATAAAATGTTAATAAATTCTTCTTAAAGATATTTTTATTTGCTTGAAAAACCCTAAACAACAATTCTTTATTTTGGAGTCTGATGTAACTGACTGAGGCCAGATTTTTTAGTGTGTACTAGATCATTAATTTCACAGTAGTACAGAAATCAAGTGCTAGAATAAGGAATGTTATTTTGAGATTGCATTTAAACCACTGAAAAGGAATGTACTCTTGACTGTTAAACAGCCACAAGGATGTTTTTCACTCATCACATTAATCCGTTTTTTATCCCCCTCTTTCAAGCAACATTTCTGTGCTTTCAAATAAAATACTCCAGGCTTTTGTCACAGGTCAAACACTTGACATTTTTTACAGTGTGTTCTACACGGCCCAGCTCAGCGGCAGAACTACGTTCACATTAGCACCAGTGTCACTAGTGGACAGAGCAGTGATGTATTAGGCAAAGGGGAGCACCAAGGACTAATTGGCCATATGAGGACACATCAGTGTGTGACAGGAATGCATAAACAATGGAGAACACATGAAAAGGTAGCTTGCTCCTCTGCCACATCCCAAAGCACAAGATAAATGGCATTATTAACAGATCTGAGACATAAGAAACGCAGCACGAATTAAACATGCAAATTCTTTCTTCCTCAAAATAGCATCCTGGCCAGAAATACTCCTGTACAACATAAAGTAAATTCTGTATAGTTTGTGAAGATGCAATTTAGTAAATTACAAGGTGAGAAAATGCTTTATCTTCATTTCATCACAGTAAATTCATTAAACCCATGATGACAACTTTTATCATCACCACCACAACATTGGAGACAAAACGCACACTTCAACATGTCTGAAATATCAAAAATGTCTTTACTGTTTGCAATATGCCTATAAAGACGTATGCTTATAGCAGAAATTACAACATTTTAAAAGAATTCAGTATGTATTCAATATGTACATTTCTGTAAGGACAATAAAGTATTTTAAAAGTCTTAGGGAGGGTCAATGACATTTGCATGCATGAAACAACCATGCTTCAAAAGAGCTGGCTTGGTATTCTCAGGAACAGCTGCAGATATAATGCTAATAATACTATAAAATAAGGCTTTACATATCAAAACAGTAACTATTTTTTTTAACTGCCCTTGATCTCCTTATCATACCATATTTAGTAACAGCCACCAGTGTATTCCTCCAGTGTGACCTATATATAGAATTAGAAGATGTTCTTAAGAGCTGTATTTTGGACAAGTTAAAAAATAAAGAAAGAGGGAAAAACCCCACCTAAAATCACCCAGCCTGGAACACATAGGGCCCACAGAAAACTCATGTCCTAAACATTGCCTGTAACTCATTGGTTAGATTTTGTCCATCAGAATATAGAGGTAGCATTGACTAAAATTGTCACACACTCGGTGTGGAGCCTGCGAAGTATATGCAGGACTGCTGGCAGTTCCACAAGTTTCACTGAAGCAAGAAATGAAAAAGCCCAGTGCCTGCAAGTTGGTGCCCGCAGTAAAACATACATCGAGATCAGAGTTCAAAATAATCTGAATCTATTTTCATTATGTGGAAATGCATATCCATTTGTTTTGTTGAACTGGTCTGCCCTCTACGGCACCCAAACACTAATTTGGAAGAATTTTGGCCTGGGAACTCTCTGTAATTTAGATTAAGAAAAAAAAAAAAGATTGCTTCTGTCATTTCTGTCCATCAGGAAGAAGCCTCATTACCCAAGTAGACTTGTAATACATTGTTTTGCCAGTTGTATTTTATTACCATTGATTTATCCATAAAGCTAATGCAAATATGGCCATTTAAATATTATCCTTCAACTATTTACTTATCTTCTGGAGAGAAAGCAAGGCATATCTGAGTACAGATCAGTCAGTTTTGCGGTTAGGTAGTGAGGCAAACAGAGAGATGTGGTTCCTTGTACTGCTTGTGGCTCTTCCACATAAATAAATCAGAGCAGCCTTACAGTATATTCTGTGGAAAGTGGGAGACACAATAATCCCAGAGGCAATCAGAACTTAATGGATTTGCATGTTTTGAGTTTCCATTGGAGCTTTCCATATGTACTCAGGGATCAAATCTTTTCATGCCCTACACCAAAAAACACAGTTCTTTGTAGAAGGAGGCCGGCTCAAAACTGTTTGCAATAATGGTACAACACTGCCACAAAACCTGGCAGGTAGGCAGATGTTCTGTGAAATTAGGCATGAAAAAATGCCAAAGGTAAGTTTTATTTTTATTTCAGACAAATCACAAAAGAGTACTATAATAGAAAGATTTTATTAGCAAGACCATGTACTGCCACTTGGACACCTAAATATGTGAGCTATGGGTACAATTCAAGCTCTTCAAAGGCTTGTTGTGACAGTAACGTGGTATGGGACAAAAAAGAAAACCTGTGTTCAGCATGAAGACCATAGAGATAGATAAAGTGTTAGCTGGACCTTTGATCCAAGTAATTTTAAAACACTAAAAATTATCTTAAATAGCTTTAACCTTTGTTTCGGGATACAGGGAGGCTTTTTTCAGCTTTCCTAACGTGGCTTTTGCAAGACTGAAGATTTATGAAACTCTGAATATTAAACGGGCCAAAACAGCCATTTTGGAGCTCAGTAATGTTTGAAGAAAATGCATTGTTGAGGAAAGAGTGAAATATTTCCCTGTAAAATTTTCTGAAATAGCAAAAACGAAACGGCAGTTGTTTGAAAGATACACCTCAGTTTCAGAAGCAAGAAATAACAAAGAGCACGTCAAGCACATTGTTCTGTATTTTGGTCTAAAGATCATCAAAACTCACGGAGTAGAAGCGTTGACAGATACAGAGACACATTCTGTTTAAGGCCAACATCAGCTCTACATTTATAGACTCGGTTAACCACAGAAAGAGCAGAATTTACTTGTACCACCGTACTTGGCACCTGGACATCAAAGTAAAGCTGTGTTCAGAAAGAAGCACTCTATGTTCAAAAACCTGTCTTTACATAAAACCTTGTTTTTATTGGACGTCAATGAGTCAAAGGCAGATGGCTGGTCTAATTTTAGTTAGGGACAGATACAACCCACCAGCGGCCAGGGTAACCAAGGGTAGTCAAGGTTATGAGCCCCAAGCAACAAATTTACTTTACCTCATATTCAGATTCCAGTGTCACAGTATTCTGTTTTAATTTTTCTTTCAAAGCTGGATCAACCTGTAAGAGAAACAAAAATACAGCAAAAATGTTTGCTTTTAAGAATTTTTTTTTTAAGAAATCTTAACCTCACACAGACTAAATAATGGTGCATGCAAACCCTCCTCTCCTCTAAATGGCATTACATGCTGTTGTTCAGATACCAGGATGATGAACACAATAAAAGAACTGGGCTGAAAAGAGACAGGTAACAGCCAAACTTTTCAAATCAAAAATGAAGCACGTCTGTAACTACCCCTGCACTCGCATTGCCTTAGATACTTAAATCTGTAACTCTTCCAATTTGAAACTGTCAAACTAAACAAAGATTTAAACAAAAGAAACAAGAAAGACCAAGAAAGAGAATTTTGTGATCACATTGCATATTTTACTGCCGAATGTTGGGTTCAGTGCATAGGTATACAATATATTCTGGTTTTCAAAGTCTAAGGGCGAGTCAAATTTCCAATTTTCTGGTGAACACAGCTCTTTCCTAGTTTTGATTCTGTACTGACAATGCTGGTGATTTCTGCCACCTTTCAGAGATGCTTGTTCCAAGAACAATTCTAAGAACAGAAATGTCAGTGAACAACAGCAGATGTGTTGCACGGTTTTAACTTCTGAGCCCAGAAGAAGTTATGTTCATCCCTCCCTTTGCATCTGTCTCCCACAAGCCCAAGAATAAAACCAAAGGGGAAAAAGGTAATTAGCATTCTTCATGCTTGGAGAAAGTGTTTTATGTTCTCCTCAAAAAGACATCAGCTACATATGCAGTACTCAGACACAGTCTTTAGCCTAAACAATTAAAATCTCAAATAAGTCTACCATGAGAAAATATTCTCATTTTTAGACCTTAAATACAACCAGCGTTGAAAAAAAATGCATAAGGAGACTGGTAATGTGTTTAGTTCTACATCTATGGCACACTAGTCCAAATATGACTAGTTCAGTGAAGAAAAGTTCTTATTTTTAATTTGCTGCTTCTTGATCCGAATGAAAAGGGCTCGGTTATCCTCATCACAACCAACCTCAAATGTTCATAAGCACTCTAGAAAAAGGAGGGAACACAAGTTATAGAATTTGCCTGGTCGATGAGAAGACCTACCTTCAGACTCTGCCCCAACCCAAGCTCCCGAGTCTCAGAGGTACTTAAAATACACACCTACTATCTGTATTGATGGCAATTGCTCTGAAGAACTTCCCTAGGCCATAATGCTCCCTTTGATTACAGGCACTGCCTGGCAGTCAGTATGCAGCTGGTGAGACCTCAGTTCCTAAGGATGCTCAGACAGGCAAGTGTAACACCATCTGTGCATGGCCGGATTCCCCTATCTCATCACAGGTCTGGCCATAGAAATTCATGCATTTGCAACCTCCAGACTCATTACACTTGGGAACTAAGCCAAAATATCTAAATGCTTAAAGTATGTCCAGGATACAGCTCCCACTTTTTTTTTTTAATTAAAAAAACCCCTTGTAAAACAAGGTACTGTCTCTGCACTAGCCCTCTACATCAAATAATAAATGAAATGCTACATCTCTGCCTTGGCTTTCAAGGCCTCCATAGGACTCCCCCTCATTAAAGATGGATTGCCTCTCTCCTTCGGTGACCACGACCTCCAACAACAGCCATGCTTCATTAGAACAACGAACCCATCCATCACACGTGCAGAAATGAAAACTCCTTGGGCAGCCAGGCAGGCTTTGGAGCTTGCTTTCAGAGAGATAAGAGTGATCATGGACCTCGCTATATCCAGAACTAAATGCAAACACTATTTGTTACGCTTGGTGTTCTTGCAATATGCATATGGACAAGGGGAAATAAATGCTCCAGCAAGTAAAGAAGCAAGAAAGTTTTCTTTCCTCCTATGTCTTCACTTCATTTAGTAATAAGGGACCCAAGATAACGTGGTTGGAGCAGCATTCTTACTTAGTTAACCACAGCCAGAATTTCACTTACAAAGACAGCTCAATACCCCCAGTATCAAGTTTTATTTTAGCAATTTTTAGTGTGTTCTTTTTAATGTGCGGTGGTTGCATGGCCACAATTGTGTAAGGTAAAGGGAAACAAGCAGTGAAGTTATTGCTGCTTCTCCCCGTTTTCAGGTCCTTCTGTCTTCAGACTTCCTTGTGTATTCATTCTCGTCCAGCATGGGTCCCTTCCGTGGGGTCACAAGTCCTGCCAGCAAACCTGCTCCAGCGTGGGCTCTCTCTCCATGGGGCTGTGGGTCTTGCCAGGAGCCTGCTCCAGTGCAGGCTTCCCACGGGGTCAACAGCCTCCTTTGGGCATCCAGCTGCTCCAGCATGGGGTCCTCCATGGGCTGCAGGTGGATACCTTCTCCTCCATTAACCTCGATGGCTGCAGGTGACAGCCTGCTTCACCATGGTCTTCACCACAAGCTGCAGGGGAATCTCCTCCCTCTCCTTCTTCACTCATCTTTCTGTCTGAAGAGTTGTTTCTCTCACATATGCTCACTCTTCTCTCCTGCTGCAATCGCTGTTGTGCCGCAACTTTTCCACCTTCTTAAATATGTTCTCACAGAGGTGCTACCACCATCACTGATGGGCTTGGCCTTGGCCACCGGTGGGTCCCTCTTGGAGCTGGCTGGCATCGGCTCTGTTGGACATGGGGGAAGTTCTTACAAAAGCCACCCCTGTAGTTTCTCAGCTACTGAAACCCTGCCATGCAAAACCAATATAAACTCATCCTTCTTCATAAGCAGGAATTTTATTCAGCAAATTAACTTACCGAAAAAAATTACTTAAACCCTGTTTTGAGAGCAAACTATACACACATCCTGGCAAGATCTCAAGCTCTTAATATTCAACATACAGGCACACAAAAGACTTAAGTCCACTCTGCTGAACATGTTATTTTGCTCAAAGTTAACACACAAAAAAAGAGAGCAAGTTCGTATTTCATCATCTCTTTCCTTTTTTTGTTCCCTACACACTAACCCACGTAGAATAATTTAAACATACTTGACTCCACACAGAACAGATCTGCGCTTTCTAAAACCTTGGTTGCAAACCTGTGCTTTTCAGTTGCAATTGGAAACAGGTTACAAATTGTTTTCAGAACCAATATGGCAGTTGAGAAGAAAGTATATGATAAAGTTCTGTTTCCACAGTGTTTGTACCATGCTGCACTATCTTTGCAACACTACAAGAACAAAAAAAAAACCCCAAACCAGTACAGGCTATTTTCATTCTGAAAAGGCAGATAAACATCAGTGTGAGCCACAATCACAGATCATAACCAGGGAACACTCAAAATGTGGGCAGAGCCAGGAAAGTAGCTTTGCCAAAGTGGTGGTTCCTTTATATTACACATCTGCCACAAGATCCAAATACAAACACATACATTTCGCTTCCATGATGACTGCAATGCCAACACACATACTGCCAAATGAGCTACAAGTATTCAGCTATGTACTGGCAAATGAATCATCAGCTAAATTATGAATACAAATCCCTATTAGTAAATATGATGGGGGAAGCAGACAAAGCCCAAACGCCGTAACTGCTTGGCAGTGTCCTCTGCACCATTATTTAGGAGACAGGAAGGAACAGAAGACAATATTCCTTTACACTAGAGGACTCCTTGTCAGGCACAATCTCAGATTTAAGCTCAATTTAAATTCAAGCTTTGTCCCTAAATATGGGATTCAAAGATGTGTGGATTTCTAATTACAGCATAACTTCACATTAAATTCTTACTGACAAACTACTGAAATATTTGATGCGAGTATTCAGACAGCTTTCATGAGAAGCTGTCTACAAGGCTTCAAAACCAATACTGTAAATATAATTTTTCAAGGCTTTACTATTTTTTATTCTGGGCGGTTTTTTTTTTTCCTATGTAGCACTTGCAGCAAAAATGAATGAAACATTCTCAGAGTATTTTGCACTATACAGGCTTATTGTATATTACATAAATTCAAAGTGCAAGGGCACATACATAGACAAACCTCAAAAAAGCTTTAAAAGCAAAGTTTTCAAATCAGAATTTTGTCCCATTTCACACTCTACTGTTCCTTCAGATTTACCCTTACTATACTTCAAAAGGTTCCCAAAGATAAAGACTTCGAAACTATTCTTAGGTGGCTAAAAGTAAAAGGGGTTAAGCAGAAAATTATTCTTAGAGATCTTCATAGGTAGCTATTTGAGGCTGTAAGTACCTAAAATCCTTTTAAAAATCAGGCCGTCACTTCTCTTTTCAAGGTTGACATTTCAGTTTTTCAATTAGAACCTGGACAGAATTTCTGGGTGGCAAAAAAAGGTGCACCTCAGGGTGCAGACAAGGGGCACCGCTTCAGAGCAAAGCAGGAGCTACCTGCTGCTTGCAGCCCCTACCAAACCAGGGGCTGCAATAAACTGCCAGCCTCTCTACACTCTCTGCAGTAAAGGGAAATTTTTGTTTGTGACACAAATATTTCTGATACCGTTATAAACCTAAATGTGCCACTACTGAAAAAAACCCAAACTCTAGCTAACGATTTTGCACTGATCCTTAGTGACCAAAGTTCACTTCGGTTGAGAAGCAAATAATAGACAGCAAGCAACTGTGAAATGTGTCAATGTCACTAAGTTTACCTCCAGGATATGGAAAGGACAGCTCTTCCACAAAGGAACCCAAAGAACACCATCACTATCCCCTTTTCATGTTCAGAGGGATGGAAGACCTCTCCAGTGAAGACGGGCTGAGAAAACTGGGGTTGTTCAGCCTGGAAAAAAGAAGGCTCTGGGGAGAGCTTATAGTGGCCTTCCAGTACCTAAAGGGGGCTACAGGAGAGATGGGGACAAACTTTTTAGTAGGGCCTGTTGCACAGGACAAGGAGTAATGGCTTTAAACTACAAGAGGGTAGATTTAGACTAAATATAAGGAAGAAAATTTTATAAAAAGCGTGGTGAAACAGTGGAACAGGTTGCTCAGAGAAATGGTAGATGCCCCATCCAGGGAAATATTCAAGGTCAGGCTGGACGGGGCTCTGAAAAACCTGATCTGGTTGCAGATGACC